AATAAAAAATTGATAATCAATTGTCAGTTTATTATTTTCCAAGGTCAGTGTTTACACTTACGTTGTCCGAAGTTTTTCAAGCATCAAAAAAATTTGAATTATGAAAGGTTAATTAAATATAACAGCAAACAAAGCCTTTGATAAGTTCACTCTCATGAACCACCATGATAATCCTCTCGTTCATGCTGTTCTTTCCAGCCAGATGGACCCTACCGTTGACGGACGTTCTGGCGGTGCGCTACGGCGACGATTGGATACCGGGTGTGAACGTTAAGGAAAAGCAGCCGACGCAGCCGACCTCGCCCACGACGGTGTGCCCGACGAATTTCATTCTGCACTACGCTGTTCGTGGACCGAAAAATAAATGGAGACATCACAGCGTGACCATGAGCCACACGGATCCCAGGCAGGTGGCCTCGTGGGTGAAAACCATTCGCAATTACCTCCTGGGTGAGTCGTCAATCGCGCGCGACGATTCCGGATCATCATTTTAAATTTATCGGAACATTTACTCGCGAAACTTCGGGAAGCGGCTCTGATCAACGTTCGTTATAACTCTAATATATATATAAAATAAAATTCTACACATATAAATATTAATAAAATATTATGTAAATAAAATATACATTTTTTTGATAATTTTATTATAATATTTTTATGAACAAAATAAAGAGATAAATATGTTCGTGTGAAGGAAACGTAGATTTAAAAAAATATACATTTTACAATATAAATATTTTTTTTAGAAACAAAATATTTTTTGACATCGATGGGTTTATTTTATTCTGTTCTTTAGAAAAGTATATTAAAATAAATTATGATTTTTACTTTAGTTTTAATAGGATTAAAAATCGTGTCGATTAATGCATTCAAAAATATGAGATTTTATTTTTGATGATGTTACTTTTTAAGATATTTTTGAAAAGAGTTAGAAATTTTAAATTGACAACCTTTTCTCTCCTCAAAATTCTATAAATTTTGTTTGAAATATTTTTACTAATCCGGTTCAGCATTCAAAATATTCAAAATAGTCATGTAATGTATATATAAAGTCGTGAAATTGGATTATGGAGCAAAAGATTCAAGCATGTTTAATATCAAAACTGTCAGTATTACATCATGTAAAATGACAAGTAGAAACTTCGTATCAAAAGCCACATCAAATATAAGTAACATGGAGAATTATTGACACGACTATAATTTTCTACATCCTGCATGCGATTAAGAAAGTGCACATGTATTAGTTTAGTAATACATGTATGTATTGAAGCTGATGTGCTGCGAGCAAAACTCATTTGCGTTCGTAACATAACATAAAAATTTTTCCATTACTTATAAAAAAAGCCACATATTTTCTTACTCTTACACTTGTTTGCAGGATGAAAAAGAAGAATGAGGAAAACAGTTGATCAAATTCGTCATCAAGAAAAAAATCAACGTGACATAAATTAATAAAAACTTGCTAACTCTGAGTGAACATTAACATAATATTTTCATAATTTTGAATGATTATATAAATCAAATATTAAGAAAAATTAAAACTAGATCTTACAAAAAATAAGATCTGTAATTGAAAATTAAAAAACAGAAGTATCAGAATTATAGTAAGTTGAAGTGAGCTGAATTAAATGGATTATTTTTAAATTATTTTAATATAATTTTTTATAATTCTCGGTAAGAATTCTCTGTAAAGAAATAATATGTTGTAAATTCGAAACAAATCGAATCTTTATAATCTTTATAATCTCGAGTTATATATATATATATATATATATATATATATATATACACACACACACACACACACACACACATATA